ATCACTACTCTTCCAAAAGGGTAACTTCTATCCTGACTTCTAACATTACGTATTAGTTTTGCCTGTTTTTGACCTTCATATAAATGGAAATGTGGAATGTATCCTTTTTTTGTGTCTGGCTACTTTCACTCAAGATTACATTTGAGATTTACCCATGCTGTGTGTCTTCCTAGTTCATTCTCATTGCTGCATGGTATTTCATTCTAGTATTATAGGTATGACGAAGTATTTACTTATCCATGTTAACGCTGGATGCCCGCTAAGTAACAACACTTAGTTTTCAATTTTTCTTAATCTGGTAGCAAAACATGATCTCATTGTTTTAATTTTTATTTTTTAATAAGGTGGAATGATGAATTTTCAAATGGATAATGAATCATTCATCTTTAATTTTCAAATAGTTGCCTATATATTATGACCCTTTTCCAATTGAGAATTATTCTTTTTCTTAATGACTCATAAGGCCTCTTAATCGTGTGAAAAGCTCTTTATAGTCATGTGTTTTAACTCGTTATGTACATTGCAAGTACTCTTGGTTGGTCTTTGTATTTTTAGTTTTGTTAATGGTGTGTTTTGAATATAAAAGGTTTTCATTTTCATGCTTTCAAGTCTGTTCATAGTTATACCCAATGTGATATATATAGATGATATATTACAGAATTGTAAACCTTAAATCTATGTAACTTTGCTAACAATTGTCACCCCAATAAACTTTAATTAAAAACAACAACAAAAACAAAAACAAAACAAAACAAAATCTGTTCATATTTTCCATTCCGGCTTTTGGGTATTTTTGTTTCATGCCAAAGGAATGTGCTTTAGTGGTATGAGTAAAAAGGGAGACCAATGTATTAGAATTAGAACTGTAAATAGGAGAGATCAACCATTCAAAGAGGTTGAGAAAGATAAGTACTGTGAAAACATCCCTGCATCTGACAACCTTTAAGAAAGTTAACAACCTTTAAGAAAGATGTTTCACTGGAGTAGTAAGGGTGGAAGAGTTGAGAAATAAATAACAGAAGGGTATGAGGTTAAGAAGTAGAGACAATAAATGTAGACTGGTTTTTAAAAAAAATACGGTCAATGAAAAGAAAGGGAGAGATG